AGAAACAACAACAAAAAAAAAAAAGGATAGAGCGAACGACTGCGCAGGCGAGCTCTGCGCTGCAGGCGGACTCGGGGTCGTGGGCAGACGGCCCCCGCGAACCGTGGATTCGCAGTCCTTCGTGCCAGAGCAAGGGCGCCCGCGACTAGGGGAGCGGGTCAGCCGAGGAGCTCGGGTCAGTAGAGCGCCAGGGGGATGGGGCGGCGGGGCCGGGGATGCACGACGGGGCGGGGCGGGCGGATGGCGGGGGCGGGCTGGTGGAGCTGCCGTGAGACCAGCTGCGATATTTGAAGGGGCCTTCTCCGGAGACTTTGAAAGAGTCGATCCCAGCAGCGCCATGCCCGACGCGCCCCAGGGCGCCGGTGATCCTGCGCCGGCGACCATCCCTGGTTCGGCGCATCCGGCGCCGCGGCAGCGCGCAGACCTCTTTGCAGATGGTGGTGTAGAGGCAGCTGGGGGCACAGCGATGGGGAGGTAATGTGTTCGGATGGAGGACTTTGAGGATGGTGTGGGGGGGGGGGGCATTGGGCGGGTGGGCGGCCGTCAGCTGCTGGCCAACTACGCCCAATCCCATCATCCCTGTGCCTTCCGCCCGCGCCTGCGCTCGAACGCGCCCCCTAGCCCTCCTGCTGCTTGCCCGGCAGCTGCAGCGCCGGAGATGGCCATGGAGGAGACAGAGCGGCAGCTCGCGAATGGCGAGAAGGAACAGATCATGAGGGGGGGCAGCAGGAGGCCTTTGAGAAGCCGACGGCGCAGGCGCGTCGCGAGTCCGAGGGCGGCTTCGTCGACGACGGCGGCAGCGCGCCCGGCTCTGAGCATGTTCGGCCACGTGTCGCCCGCAACGCCCGCGCCGGGAGGCCAACCGCGACGTGCCCGAAAGCCAGTCTGCCTATGGTTGGCGACGAAGGCGATGCGGATGCAACGGCTGCCCTGGCGCGGAAGAACGAAGCGCTTGATGGGGGGGCTGCGGGCAGAGGAAGCCATGCGAAATATGCTGCATGAGGAAGAGGAGAGGGCAAAGCGAGAGCGCGAGGTGCGCGAGAAGGCGCGGAATGAGCTGCGAGAGCGAGGGGCGGTCGAGGAGAGGAAGGAGAGAGGAAGAAGCAGCCAGAGCGGCGAAGACGGCGGAGCAGGAGTTGAACCGCCGCGAGAAGCAGAAGCGAGAGTAGGAGCGGGACGAGCATCGTAGACAGCAGGCGCTGTTCGTTGCCGAACTGGCAGAGGCAGAGGCGAAGGTAGCCGAGAAGAACAAGCAGCTGGAGGCGCTGCGGCGGCCCAATGTGACGTTGGAGCGCTTCGCTGGCAACGGTTGGAACAAGACGGCGGCGGCGCCTTCGCCAGTGTCGCGCCCGACCGAGGACGCGGGGGGCCCCGCCGAGCCAGTGGGCGAGCCAGTGGCAGTGCTGCGCGCCCACGCGAGCGAGGAGCGTCGGATTCGGCGGCAGTTCGCCAACAGGTGCGACGCTGCTGGGCATCAGGGGCGAGGGCGAGGGCGAGGGCGGGAACGTCGAGGGCAAGACGAACAAACGCAAGATGGGCAAGGACACGAAGGACGAGAGCAACACTGACGCGGGCGAGACGGCCAGGGGCCAGGAGAAGACCGAGGTCGAGGGCCAGAAGGACGAGGTCGAGGTCGACGTCGAGCACGCTGCAGAGGAGGGGCTCCTCAGTGCACTACAGACGCAGATCGCGGCCATTGCGAGCGAGGCCGACTACCCCCGCGGCGAGCAGGGGCGCGCATCGGCGGTCAGCTCGCCAAGCTGTTCCAGTCGAAGCTGATGTCCAACATCGACGACATGAAGAAGACCGGCCCGAAGTGAAACGAGATGATGCACGGCGACGGCGGTGGCCCTCAAGCTGACGAGCGGTTCCAACGCCCTCCGCCTTCGACAAGGGGGGGCTTGCGCACTGCGGGGAGATGGAGGGCCAGGGCTACGACGAGTTCAACCTCGACAGCACCAAGGGGCCCAATGTTGCCAGCAGGTGGGGCCGCGCATGTGCCGCCAGCGAGCAATTTAGAAAATACTCTACGAAGGAGAAGGGGTGGGAGGCCCCCGCGGACTTCCGAGCTCAGCTGGCCAGGAAACTACGCGAGGCTTGGAAGAAGAACGTCAAGATGGAGAAGAAAACAAGCATGGTCAACGAGGAGGTCGCCAAGAGTGAATTCTGCACCCTTGGTAAGATTGCGCGGCTCAAAGGCGGCAGGCCCCGCGGGCTGGCGATTGCAATCAAATGCTGTGCGAGCTGCGCGCTCCTGGGCGGTGCAACGTCCGCTACTGCGACTTCGGCAGGGTCTTGGAGTTCTTGAACATGAGGCATCAACATACGACCGGTTCAAGAAGGATTGGAACCGCTACGAGGCCTAGGTCGAGAACGGCAGCGCCGCCGCTGCTGAGTCAGACGGCGGCGCGCCGGAGTCGGCGCCCGACGGCGCGAGGCAGGGGGGGGGGCAAGCGCGAGGAGAGCGCTGCCGACGCGCCAATTCCGAATAAGCGAATGAAAAGTGCCGAGCCTGTGAACGATGAGGAGGTTGAGGAGGGGGTTGAGGAACAAGCAAAGGATGCTGATAAGCGGGATACGGGGCGGCGGCTGAAGCAGAAGAAGGACATGGGTGATGATAAGGGCAGCCCTGATCAACGGCAGAAGGCGAAGGCGACGACTCCACATTGGCTGAAGACGTTCAGGGCGACAAAGGCCACCTACGCAGTCGCGCTGGGCAAGGCCGGCGTCGTGAACGCGCCCGTCGAAATTGACTCGTCGTGGGAGAGGATGGCGAGCATGAAGAAGTTGATGGGCGACGCGCTGGCCGAGGCCAACTCGCGGGGCGGGGCGCGTCATATCAGCAATGTGGCAGACAATCATTGGTTGAGTGTTCGGAAGAATGTGACTGATGCGGTGCGGGGCCAGGCGTTGGGGGATGAGGTTAGAGACGGTGAGGTGAGTAACTGTTGGCACGCAATGCATCCAAGCGGCATCGTTCGTGCGATGTGCACTCATGGTATGCATGCTCCATGTCAGCGTTGCATCGTTTGTACGTCGCACGTGTTCTGGCAGGTGAAGTCGCTGATCCAGAGCGATGGCGCGCAGTGGCTGATGAGCCGTAGCGAAAGCGAATGCAATAAGCAAGGGTCACGGCATCTGTTTGATAATGCGTATCAGCACAACGCTCATGCGCAACCCATGCGCATTTCGTACACGTCTGAGTTGCGCATGACTTGCGCATGAGTGTACCTTCGGCCCAGGTGGGTCCCGCCCAGTTCGAGGCCGAGTGTCTGTAGGTCAACGGCTGGAAGAACGAGATCGACCATCTGTTCGTGGAGGCCAGGGCCCTCGTTCGCCAGCAGAGGGCCAAGGATGAGGAGGTGAAGAAGATGATGCCGAGCTCTGATGCGGGTGAAGGGGGGCAAGTCTAAGCGGCCGCGCCGTGCGGCACCTGCTGCAGAGTGATATCTGAATGACGCATAGCTACGCGACATGTAAAGTGTAGAACGGATCGGAGCCATGGGCGAGTAATCCTAGATCTGGGGAGGGGCTCGGGCACTGCACATCGCGGAATGGTTGGCCAGATCTCATTTTGAGCGAGCGGCCGTCCAGGCTGGCACGTTTATCAGCGGGCCATGCGCGCGTTAATGGTCCAGCTCGAGATTCCATTGCTTGCGGCGGCAATCGTGAAAACATTGTGGACATTCAGCGCCATGCCCCCCCTCCCGTGCCGCATGGGCTCCGTGTGAATGTGGCCCGTATGAGTACCGTATGAATGTGCATACAAGTATGTGTTTTTACATGTAAAATCGGCCGTATGAGTACCGCGTGGGTTCCGTATGAGTTTCGCGTGAGTTCGGGGGGGGGCGGAAATCAATCTGGGGACAAGGTCGCACATGTAAGTTGGTAGAAATCCCGCGCCCAGACGCGACGTGGACCGTGGATAGTTTGATTTTGGCAGCGCATGCGGTGCGCATCCCACTTGAGATGCGCACCCCTCGACCGGAAGTCTTCTGAAGCTCCCATTGGCGATGCGCAAGTGGAATCCGTTTTGAGCATATCGGGCAACCTCGGATGAACATGCACGGAGTACGACGCGCGTCGGCACGAAGTGGGTTGCATGTCGCTCGGCTGGCGTGTAGGACTTGGTCAGTCAGGTGCCCCGCGCGCGCGGATGACACAGCGTGCGACGGCCACCCCTAAGGATGGGGCCGTAGGGGGAGTTCTATCACGCGGGTCGGCCCGTGACCCAGCACGTGTTGGTGATGAGGGTGCGCTGCTCGGTTTGCATGAACTGTTGGCCCATGTGAGCGACGTGACGCGCCGACGCCATGACCCTGCAAATGTGACCGTGTAACGCGTAGCACCGCGCATGCGAACATCATCAAAATACCATTGACACCAACCATCACCATAGGCAGAACATGCGCACACTTAGTAACATCGTCGAATCACGCCATACCTGTGAACTGTAACAACGCCACTGTCTGCTGCGTGTGGCGACGGACTGACATGCCACTTGCGCGCGTGAGTGCCTCGCGCCTTGCTTGTCGATTTCATTTGTTTCGTACGCGCTGCAGCCGTTTATTGGTCAACGTGATGCCGCCGAAACACAAGCGCAACCCATAGGGCCCCCGTGCACCGAAACTTCCTCACATACGTAAGCCCAATGGTTCGAAGGTGCGGCTTGCTGGGACCACAGCGTTCGTGATTTCGTTAACGGCATGGGCATCGCGTAAGAAGTTGTCAGCCAATGATTTCAGCATCGCAAGTTGGTATCTTGCCAAATGTGGCGTTTCATTGGGGAGGTGGTCAACTTTTGGGTTTCCGCCAGGGATACCGTCAGGTAGGTACTAACAGGAAATGGACAAGCACTTGCCAGATGGAAGGCCGTTCCATGCAGCTGGCGCGCCTGCGTTCTTGAACAGATCTGCGCGCGCTCATAGTGAGACCGCGCTGTGCAGACAAGTGCGCGATACGATTGCTTGTGCGATGAATGTTTCTGATTATCCCCAGGGGGTCTTGAGGCGCGGAGAGACAGGTGATTGTGCAGGTAGCATTCCAACTGAATGTTGCCAGACTCGCCCTCATGTCGCACCATGTTAAGCTGACTGCGGGACAGATGCAGTGCCGCTGGCATTGCGTGTCGGCGGTTTCCGATATACTGCGCAGACGGCAGGGCGGAGCGACATGAAGACTTCGTCGAATCAAAGCCCCAACCCACTCATCCATACCTGCTCTCGCCCATCTCTCCTTATTTGCACCCCCATCTTGCCCCCCTCTCTCACCTCGCTCCAGTAACCGCTCGCCGCGTGGATCGCGGGGGGGTCAACGTGGCGCGCGGCGCCGCGCCCCCAACAGCTATATGAATCCACTGAAAGCCTGATGCTCTGTAAAGTCGGAGCGCGCGGCCAGCATATTGCACGCCTCGGCGATCAATCTGCTCTCTCGCAAGAGGCGCACGCTTGGGCTCATGAGGGTGGGCGAGATGCGCGGGCGCGGGCGTAGCGAATATTGCTCAGTATACTCAAATATGCAAGTTGCGTCGTTTCAAACGCAGCGCCTCATCAACGCTACAATACCATATAAGAACCACGACGGGTCTGCGCGGAGACCTGGTGAAACGCCCGACACCAAGTTTTCGTTCCGTAGTGTCCTACTGATGTTGCAAGGTGGCTGGGCAGAGTTTGCAAATCGATGGGGCTCACGGGGTGGGGAAGCGTGCGCGAGCGTTGTCAAAGACGCCCATGTTCGAAAGATGCCCTATCTATTATGGATTCCGAGTTCTTATCCAGGTGTGGGCTAACGCGCAATGACAGGTGCAGCGATGAGTATGAGCCAGCATGCGATAGGTGTGAGCGTCTGATATTGGTAGAATGCTTGGCCGATCGAGACGCGACACGGAAAACATTGCAGTCGGTGGATGGGCGCGGCCTCATTTTGCAGAGCCCGTCTGATCCCACTGGAGTTTGATGCATATGATTTGACATTTGAAATAGTTTGTTGGAGAACACGGTGCGATATCACGGGCAGGACATGGGGGCCAGTTTCGCAAGGGTCTCCACTTTTCGACCCTGCTCTGTTGGCATCGCCCGCGCGGCCCCTCGGACTGAACACGATGCGCGCAGTTCATCTAGGCTGCATGGCGCGATATGTGAGCGTTGTCATACGTAGGCTCGATCGCGCAAATCTTTAGAATTCACCGCCGCCCTCGGCGCGGCCCCGTCTCGAGACTGAACATTCCTCGCGCTGCGACCGGGGGGCCGCGCCTCGCAAGAGCAGGGCCAGCACGTTGGATCACGAAATGTTCCCGGGCGATTCTAGCGCATATTTTCCCGGTAACCTAATAAAGCTGAAGGCGTCTGAGACATCTATGTTCGCAAAGTTTGCCCTTGATCGGGTGAAAGCTCACGCGGGGTGCAATGCCCCGTTCGAGCGCGAGTTGATTGCGGCTGGCGACGATCCGGTTACATGGGCGGGGGCGCATCATTCGCCGGGCGCTTGTCACGCGACAACTGAGTTCCAGATGTTGCGCGACAGTTGCTGCAGGTTCTCGGCGAATTCTAACGAGGCCGAAGTTCATTTCACACCCAAGTTCCATATGCTTGGGCATCTAACTCTAAGGGCCCAGGGCTTGCCCAAACCATGCGCGCACTACGTTCTAAATGTTCGGAGGGGGGGGGGCGTCGCGCCCGCGCGCGCCCCGTCCACGCGCGCTCCGCTCT